GGCCGGGCGGCTAATGGTTAAAGTGAACCTGTCAAGAGAAATAAACGAGGAGTTGCCACTGCTGGGCTTTTGAAATTGTTTATTATCTGGCTGTTATGCTGATGTTGGCTGTTATCAACATATTTTGAATTACTGACCCTGAAAAAAGCGGTAACATTTAATCTGCAGATTTGTTGTAGGTCAGGACTCAGTTGCCTATGCATTGGCTTCCACACTCTATCATTTTCAGGTCAGCAATAGCAATCTCCATGTTTCTGTTAAGAAAAGCATAGTTCTCAAAGTATTTGCAGCTGACATTTTATTACACCTGCATGAGTGCAATAGAAATGAATGGGTTATCTATATTGCTGCAGGAGTCTATAATGATGATTATTCTTAATTACAATACTGCCTATCAGACTGTACCTACATATCCAACTGCCTGTAAAAGTTCAATGGTACATTGTTGCATGTCCGGCTGCATTGTGAACACGGGGTTCGCTTGTCCAGCATGGACTCCATTCAGAGACTTTCTTTTTTTTCTCAATGAAAGCAAGGCATTCTCTGATTGGATAAGGTAGAGAGGTGGGCCACCTTGTCCAATCGGAGAATGTCTTGATTTCAGTGAGAAAATGTAAAGTGTTCTCTGAATGGTGTCCATATCAAGCAGCCTACCTCTTGTGTTCACAGCAGCAGGACAGCTGCCCGTCTCAGAACCAGGAAGTTAGTGGAGTAGTGGTGCGTACCACAATGATTGCCCGCCTCTACAGGGATTAGCCAGGTATGGCATATGCATTCTTATTGGTCCAAGCAGGCCAAAGGTAAAAGTATGAAAAACAAGCCAGGTTTATGTTTAGGTTTATGTTTAGTCAGTAAGATTTTCTTCCAGCAGAGGCCTGATTTGTAGTCGAGTTAACTTTATCATATTAACAAACTGATGACTGGTCGCTAGGACTGACCTAACTTGAAAATATAAAGTGTTACTAAACCCACAACGGTATAATCAGTCTGTAGATGCAGTAAAGCATGCTGGTTATACTCACTGTGGAACCTAAGGGGCTAATCCTCTGCATTGTATAAAAATGCTGTTTGAACCTGTCTTCTTGGATCCTCCTCTTCTTCTAGTGCCCCCCCTCCTGATAAGACTCTGCACATGCTTACTTTGGTGTGTATTGCTAGAGAGGGTTTTTTTTTTTCTTCTCCTCCTCCTACAAGCTTTAACCAGTGCTCTGCTGGACACTGATAGAAGTCACAAGACTGCTATATACTGCTGATGGGAAAAGGTATTTAGCAGTTTATATTTACTAAAATAATTGCATTTCCATGTTGTGTGGGAGACCGGGTGTAGTGAACGCGGGGACCGGGGAGACGGGTGTAGTGAACGCGGGGACCGGGGACCGGGGACCGGGGAGCCGGGTGTAGTGAACGCGGGGACCGGGGAGAGCGGGTGTAGTGAACGCGGGGACCGGGGAGAGGGGTGTGTAGTGAACGCGGGGTCCGGGGAGAGCGGGTGTAGTGAACGCGGGGGGTCCGGGAGAGCGGGACCGGGTGTAGTGAACGCGGGGGTCGGGGAGAGCGGGTGTAGTGAACGCGGAACGCGGGGTCCGGGGAGGGGAGCGGGTGTAGTGAACGCGGGGGGTCCGGGGAGAGCGGGTGTAGTGAACGCGGGGACCGGGGAGAGCGGGTGTAGTGAACCGGGGAGAGCGGGTGTAGTGAACGCGGGGTCCGGGGAGAGCGGGAACGCGGGGTGTAGTGAACGCGGGGTCCGGGGACCGGGTGTAGTGAACGCGGGGACCGGGGAGACCGGGCATAGTGAGTGAACGCGGGGTCCGGGGAGAGCGGGTGTAGTGAACGCGGGGGTCCGGGGAGAGCGGGGGACCGTGTAGTGAACGCGGGGTCCGGGGAGAGCGGGGGTGTAGTGAACGCGGGGACCGGGGAGAGCGGGTGTAGTGAACGCGGGGACCGGGGAGACCAAATATAGTGAACGCGGGGGGGACCGGGGAGACCGGGCATAGTGAATGCAGGGTCCTGGGTTTAGTAACGCTTTAGCTCCAGCAGCTCCTACTCCTAACCTCCATCCAAAGCTGCTGTGGCTCTGAGGAAGAGGCAAGTCCTCGAAACGCGTCAGCCTTTTGGATGTCTACACTCCCTATTGCGGACTGTTACTCAGCGCGGTGTTGACCCAGCTGTTCTCTATGATGTGCCTTGACTATATTGTCATTTGTGAGTACAACACCTACTTTATTTTTTTATGGTAATGCACTAGGCCTGTGTGCCCTCTGTTTTTTCTTTCCTCATTTTTTTTTTTCTTTCCTTTTTTCCCCACTCTCTGTCCAGACCTGTTCTGCCTACTGCTCTCTGCGATAATGCCAGCGCCTGTCATTTAGTGATGCCTGGTCTACATTTTTCGAAGTTTTTAACTGAACTCTAAGCACAGCTGTTTATTTGGATGCACTTTATATGAGATGCTACAGTTTCTCTTAATGTTTGATAAAGTGATTGGAGTGGCTGCTGCACCAATCGATAGCCCATATGTAATGGCATTGCTGATGCGACGTGTGGAAAATGCACTAATTACAGTTTGACAAACTAGTGAGAACATTATAATAAAAAAACTCTGCACCCACCTCATGTAATGTTTTCATTCAGAATCGTTGCTTTATATTGCACACTTACAAATAAACACGGCATGGCATTTGTATATTCACTGTACAGGTTTGCAACATAATACTTCGATCACATTAAAAACATAAAATCTGAAAGAAACCTAAAAGCTGAACCTTGATGACATTTTGTTTAATAAGCTGATGTGACTCAATTATCACATGAAATAGAATGTTATGTTTTGTATTTCCTTTGGATTACAGGCGCTATCCTAGTTGCAGGGTGGCCAAATTGGTTGAGTTCAATGAGTGACACCACTGCCTTGGAACGAACACGTATCCTGAAGGTCAATGGCACCTCTGGAGTGGGGAGGGACGGGGCTCTTTTTGATAAAAGTTAAGCTGGGTTACTGCAACATCTAAAACCACTGAACACAACAATCTGGAAGGGTTAGAAAAAGGGTTTTTCATTCCTACGAAGCAAGGGGTGCATGGACTTCTGCAAGGATGCCAGTGCTACGTTCATATGCAGAGAGCCTCGTGCTGCAGATCACTTATGTTTAGGATGTAGAAGGAAATCTGAACACCAATGTCTCACAGAGCAGCTCCTAAAGTGGTATTAAAAACAAAAAGGTAAGCTGCAATATATTCCATTTTTTTTTTTTTTTTTAGGCCTTTTCCATGTTTTCACCGGGTGATCTGGCCAGTACCACACCTCCTGTAGTAGAGTGCCCCACTCTGGATGAAAGGGCACAGGAGAAACCCTTGGACAGCAGCACTGTTCACTGGGGAGGGACAATTAGATGTACTAGCAGATTTAGATACAAAAATTGAAGCTGAACTCCAACTACCAGGTTCCAACAATTGTAAAGGCTTTAACTGACGGTTGATCATACATGTGGTAAATAGTTTGTCCCAACCCTGAAACTGCTACATCTGCAGCACAGCTTGTTCTGTTGAAAAAGAACAGACATACTGGCCAGATTATCAGGTGAAAATAAAAAAATGCCTAAAAAAACAAATGCAGTTTAATACTGCTTTAATAGAATATCCCCCCCCAAAAAAAGTTTACCAATGTAATTTGTTAAGAGTATATTAAATGTCGACCAGTTTCATCTTTTTAGGAAGTCTACTGGCACATAGCTATGAACTGTAAAACGCTGGTGACTTAGGGCCAGTTCACATCTGTGTGGTGTGTAACCACTTACCTCTGTAAAATCATTTTCCTGAAAGCACATCAAAGACGCAGCAAACTGTTTTGTTTTTTTAATGCCCCACACATAGGGTGCCTAGGTATTAAGGGGCCTTAATGTGACTACTGAAAGCACTACATAAACTATATATAATTGTGCCTGGGAGCGGTAAGTTCTAGCATGCTGGGCCTTGTAGTTTCCTGCAATATTAAAGCACAGGAGGGTGTTCATGCCTGCTGTATTCTTAGCATGCGACTGGTGACATGAATATCAGATGCAGCACATCTCTCAGCCTTGCAGAAGCCATGTTGGAGGTAGAGTCATGTGACTTCTCCCTCACATCTGACCTATCAACAAAGAAGCAGGTAAAGACCAACCATAACCCCTCAATCCCAGGTGAAGGAACACCATTGCCCTGCATCCTTTCCAGTGAGCTTTTTTCTTCCCCAAGATGGTCAGTATTGGGTATCTTGAGCGCTGACCGTTCACCAGCAGATGAATTGGGGGCAGCCCATCAACCCTTTATTAGGGCAACTGCCTGCCTGCCTGCCTGCACATACATACATACAACAACCTCAACTGGCTTCAAGCACGACCTTTGACAGCCAAGTGGGCAGCTTGTTGCCGAGTCAAACCTACATTTAAGGGGAGAGGAGATAAAACTGGCTGCCTGCATACCCACTGTATTGTCATACTACCTGCAGCCTACCGCATTTCAGCAATGTTTTGCTCAGAGACAGGTGCAGCAAAATGGTTTCATTTCTTATGGAGAGAAGACAATGTCTATTTTACTTAGCTGCAGCTATTTCTCAGCACTTCCAACATCACTAAGTAGCACTCTTGTCACTTGCTCACCTGACCCATACATATTATAACTGCAATAAGTCCACTGACATCTCTAATATATCTCTGCATGACAACAAAAAGGACGTGGATGAAATCTGCCTGTGTTGCTGCCCCCCCCCCAAATGTCCTGAGGCCAACAATAGTGATTGTTTTTTACTCCAAGCTCTACATGAACAGATTTATCATTACTGCACCTGAGTGCATCTGCACTTTAGCCATGTAAGCATCTTCTTGCATTCTGGGAAACAAAGGTTCTTTCTCTCCTTCTAACCAAATTCAGGTGGAAAATTATTTCTGCCTTGACGAGCTGATAAGATAATGCAATATTACCCATCCCCCTATGGATCTCCTGTTTCTGTTAGGTGGGAAATCTGGAGCTTCAGAAGAAGGATGTATCAGAGCAGAAAGCTCCAGCTAGTCTGAAATCGTCCTTCGTCAGTACACTGTACATGCGCTGGGGCAGGGCCTTGGAATAGGGGGCGGGTCTTGGAACCATAGTGCGCAGGATGACTTCCCGGCCTGCAGGGGGAGGGAAATCTGTTCCAGACATAACCTTCCTGTCTTCTGGTAAACTGGACTTTTTCAGATCTTCTTCCAGTGGGCCCAGGGTGGCAGCCTAAAAACAAAAACTGATATTCAGAACTATAGCAGAGGTTTATGAAAATTTTCATTACAGGAGGGGGTATGCAAATACGTCTACAGCTAACACACCTATATTTTACAGTATTAATGCAGTTCAATAAACAATGGACTGATATGAAAAAGCTTCTCCGCTTCAATGTTTAACTACTGCAATGAGGCACAGGGGGTTCAATAGAAAGGCCAATCCCCCCTTAGGCTCATCAAGGGGCATTTGATGTCAATGGCACTTGTAGAGGCTAGGCTGACAAAGGACGCTGCCAGCTGCCAAACAGCCATCGCCCTTAACAATACTGCAGCCTAGTTCCAGTGTCCCTGGGATAACTGCACTGGGTGGTATGGATAGCCATAGGTACACACTGCTCATCCTGTAACACCTCCTATGCACTCTGCATGGCCGGCAATGGGAGGCTGATAGTCTCTGCTGGTTGGCTCTTTATCAATGGCACTAGTAGATGTTGGGCCAGTTGCTATCAGTTGAAGGAAGGTAAGGGGCTCCCGCTTGGGGCAAGGTAACATACATTAGCTCTGTTTGCCTCTTTACTATAGTAAAATAAAAGTTCTAAAAAACATCTATAAAAACAATAGTCATTGAAGTCCAGGAATATCACAGGTGAGGTAAGTGGCCATTTGCAGAGGTCTAGAGGCAAAAGAAAATTCTGTTTTTACAATTATTGCAGGATAATAATAACTGCCTTATCTATCTTGTGCCTTTATACCTGTACAAGGGGAACTGGGATCTAAAAACAAATTGTGAGGATAAAGGGTTTTTTGAATTCCTGAGGAGACATAATGGGGTTGACTTACCAAAGGAAGTTATACTAGGGAGGGAACTTTCCTCAGAACGTAACATCACTTAATTTTGGGAAGTTTAACTTTGAATAGAATACTCAATGGCATACAAGGAATGGGATGTATCCAATGGGATGACGGACACAGCTTCACCTCATTCATTAAGCATTGAAGCCAATTCACTTTCAAACTAAACAAAGTGCTGTTGCACATAGGCTTCAGCTTGCAAAATATCTGTGTGAACAGCAAGCTTTGACAAAGCATTTGCAGGGCTTTAAGCAAGCTTTGCTGAAGTTTTTAAAGTATCATTCAACTCCAGTTTGTAAATGCTGAACACAGACTCTAATAGGAGTGCTGATTACCACTTTAAACAAGCTGCTAACAGGCTTCAGTACTTCTCGAAGCTTGTTGAAAGCCTGCTGAAGCTTGCTAGCAGCTTGCTTAAAGGGGCAATCAATTCTCCAATTAAGATCTGTGTTCAACATTTACAATCTGAATTTGAATGATACTTTAAAAGCTTCAACAAAGAAACCAGCCCCAATATGTCTCTTGTGCAATAAAGGCTTTCTCCTCACACTCTTCTTTAAACTGAACAGTGCATACTGGATGCCAGGACCCAACTCCAGTGCACATATGGAAGAGTTCTGTCCCCCCGCACTGGCCAATCAAGATGGCCGAATACCTGAAGCTGCAGAGAAGATATTTTGTCCCAGCAAAGGAGCTCATGAAAGTTGTATCTGAGGTGTTTACTTCTGCTGGAAATACAGAAGGCTTCCTGCAACATATTTACATCCTTCTATGCACATTACTACAATGCATTCTGAATGGTACCTCAGCGGCCGTAAACAATATCAACTGGGTATTGCACAACACATGCATGTGACTGTATACATGCTATGGTGTGCTGGGATGCCCGAAGTAAGCTTTTTCTTTTCTTTGTGTGTTGAGGCTCATTATGGATGACATTCTAATTGAATGGATTGCCTTAATGCATCACACACAAATGTATGCAAAACTGTGCCAGGGCCCTGAAACCTAATGTGTACTTTGTATTCAGTGCCGTGCCTTATTTGCTGTGTAGAAAATGATGTTCTCAGTTCACTGAAGGTTTCATAGCATGGCTCAGTTCAATTTACCACTTTGGTTATAATTATGGGGCAACTATTCAAGAGAGCAGAAGATGGAGCCATTTTGTGATAAATGAGAAGATTCATGAAAAATAAAGGCCTGCAATAGTTAAATATTTAGTGTGAAGAGCGAATATCCTCAACGATGCTGTATTTATGTACTTGAATTGATGAGAACATCAGATAAAAATAATAAACGCACTTAGAATTGTTCCCACAGCTTAGTGAACTGGCCCCACAGAAACGAGATGCCACCAACACAGCAATGTGTGCAGATACTCCATGGCAACGAGCAAAATCTGAGATGACAGTTCAAGAGGCTGTACAGGCATGATTCGGTAAGCTGACCATTTCCCTGTATTATATGTGGAGTCTTCCAGGACGGTGGGCTTTCAATGAAGACATATAGACAGAAATGTTATTGTTGGTCTCTTTGCAGACCCTTACAGGAGCCTGGCTAGGTCTGCTCAGTCAAGGGGTTGGAAGAGTTGGGTGATCTCAGCCAATCACATTCGTTTCACCCAAAACAGATCAGCACTTCCTTTCTCATTAGGTGATTAGTTGGAGCCGAGGACCACGTGGGACTGGTTGAGTTATTTGTAAATGTGTTTTGTGATTTTTTCCAGTGAATGGTGGTGTTTGCCTCCCTTTGGAGGTATGGCCTGCTACCTTACTGGTACGACTGCAGTGTTAGTTCGGTGACAGGGGTATTTAGATGGAGACAGAGAAATACCAAATTTGATGGAAAGATTACAATCCTTTACTGAAGATCATGAATATACGTGTTGAGCCAACACCCTTCAGGGTAACCGGCTCCCCCTTCTTCAGGGATGTCACTGCACCTGTCAATGCCGACATCTGTTCTCCCAAGAAGCTCAGGGGGGGAGCCGATTCCTCCAAAGAGCGTTGGATCAACTTGTATATCCATCATCTTCAATAAAAGATTGTAACCTTAACACTGAATGTGGTATTTCTTTGGACACTGGGTGCTCCTCCCTCCATCTGAATCACTCATAAGGTAGAAACCAGTTTTCCCAACCACTGGGCACCCAGGGCACATGCATGGTATCTGATGGGTGTAGGCAGCTTTAGCACGGTTTCCCATCTGCCTTCAGAGTAATGAAGAGTGATATTAGTTGATTAGTAAAGGGTTGGGTTAGGTTGTTCCTCCTCTCCACTACTTTGCACATGGGTGATGGGATGAGGAAGTGAGGTAGAAGGTTCTGTTACCTCATCAGAAGATTCAGTCAGCTTGATAAAGGAAAGGTGGTAAAAGACAGAGAGTCAAGCCTCGGATGACTAGGACAGGTTAGACACATTAGGACATGCAGCATGACAATATGTAGACCAGTCAACACAGATGCATGCACATGGGAGGCGCCGGGAACATGCTGCACACGTTCTATGGGAAGAGCAGGACAGACACTCAGTATATCCAGATTAAAGGAATCCTGCTATTGCTTGTCACCTAAAAAAACAGATGTCTGGCTCTTGCTGACTTCAACATTGAACCTCTGACCTGGAACAAGTATAGTATCAATAAAGTGACAACTTTTCATATACATACTAGTTCCAAGTCAAGGAAAACCAATGGCTTAGTCTGATAGCCAGGCAACATTCGGCAATGGCAGTTTAAGCATTTTTCTCTGTGCAGGTTACGTCTGATGGTCAATACTCGCTATCTTCCCACACACTCAATACAAATATCTCAGAAAATGTCAGACAATGGGGTCCTGGAACTTGAAGGAACACCCGAGAGAACTTCCTCTCTGCATATCCTGACATTGACTCCACCTGATGTGGCCATGACAAAGCTCAGCAACGCCACTTTCTCTCTCTCTGTATTGTAATAGGTGAAGAACCAAATGGTTACATAGTTAAAAAAAAAAAAATATATATATATATATATATACACATATATATATATATATACACACATATATATATACATATATATATATAAATATAAATGTCCAGGTCAAACAGCTGGAGCGAGGAACTCTGCAGAGATCTCATAATTGTATGGTCAGAACTTTGTGGATAATTCAGTCCCCCAATCCAACCAAATCTAAAAAATACATTTCGCTCAGAGGATTGATCAAAATCTGTACCTTTTCCTCTAAAAACAGTGACATCACTGTGATGCAAGGAGCTATGTGTATATAGCAGTCAGGCCTCATTTACACTTGTGGTGCCCTTTGTAAAGCGATACATGGTGGGTTGCTTTTTAGAGGGCAGCTGACATGTAGACCCCTGTACACCTGATGTGACCTTCAAAAGCCTGTTGCAATCACTAGTCTACTGCACACAGTTGCAGCACGGTCCCATTCACCTGAATTTGTCATGTTTACTGGCAGTCCTGCCTGCTTAATGCCACATGTACTATAATTTTGCATGTGCACCACCTGCTCCAGCTGCTATGTTGGTTAAAGAAGGTGGTTTAACTGCCTATATTTACTGCCCCCCAGGGCCTAAGTGTTCATGTATTGCTGAGCCAAAGTGCATTACTGAAAATGCTGTCTGATTCCAGCTCCTAGCAGTCACCCAGCAACATTACGTCTTTCTCATTATTTCCAACTGCCCTGTGCTGTCAGCTCCACTCCTCCCCCCAATACAGACAGGACCCTGAGAAGTGCTGGTGAAAGGATAGCTAAAGCCAGCCACACATGGATCAAAATTTGGCCAGCTCAGCAGGGGCCAGACAAAATTTTATTCATGAATGGGAAGGGAGGTTGCCCTGTTGGATTTTTGCCCCTCGATCAGCACCACCGGCAGCACTGATCAATGTATTCCTGACAGTGGGGAAGTTTTCCGCTGTCAGAATACAGAGAGAGCGAAGAGGATTCCCCCGTCCACTTTGAATGTGTGGATGGGTGATCGGGTCATTTTTTTTTATTTTTTATCATGAAATGAATCATTTATGTGCTGCTTAAGTGGACTTTCTGACTTGCAATACACAACTAAAGCCAAAAGGTTTCTTTTAATTTTAGATGAATTAGGGAATAGTAAAAAGCCCATGTCAGTTTTTTCCATCTGGAAAGATTTTTCCTCACTTCCTTTTCTGCAAACACAACAGGATGTATGAGAAAATCTCCCCCCTCAGTGAAAACACCCTTTTAGACAGCTGTCATTGGAACATCTGTTCCTCTTCTGGTGGCAACACAAATTCAAAATTCTGGGTTCTCCCACCTCCTCATTGGTTCATAGACAGCAGTGGAGGTCATTTGTTCCCACTGCTGTCAGTCACAGCCAGCGACGAGGGAGCGGGGCAGAGCTACAGAGAGCCCACATAAGTAATCCCCCCCCCTTATCAAGCAGCTTGTTATGGTGGGCACTCAGCGGGGAGAAGGAGTCAGGAGCACCAGCGAGGAACCAGAGAAAAGGAAGATAGGGTCTGCGCAGTGCAAATCATTAGATGATGCAGGTAGTTTGAACCTTTACAAGCACTTTAAGATAAACCTTCACCCTATTCCAGCACTTTGGTTCTAAATGTACAGAACCAGAATGGGTAAACTGTGACTGCACAGTACACAATTCCACCAACAAGAATTCACACATTGCAAGGACAACAAAGTAAGGACCAGGGATGGTTACACTCACAGGTCGACAGTCTGGGAACTTTTGCTATACATGTAAATGTGTTGATGATGGTCCACATCACACATGTATGGATGTCAGCCACCCCGGGCATTCTAGGTCGCAGATTACATTGGTGATTCAGAAATCTGGCCCTGATTTTACTTGGTCAGAGTTGCTCTTCAACACGTTGTCACGTATGTGTGAGACGGATTATAAAAACAGCCAACTGTCCCTCTCTGTTCTATAACTCCAACGCTCAAAAAAAAAAAATTGTGCTCCCGTCTTCTTGAATCCTTCTCCCCAGCATGTGGGCACCTCAAGGATAGGATTCAAAGATGTTCTTAGAAGTGTTTCCAGTGCTGTACAGATTAAACATCCTTTGATACAGAAAAGACGCTCCGTACAGCCATCTCTCCTCATTTCTACAGCAGACAGTGTGGCAGGGAAGCAGAATAGAAGCTGCATATTTATTGTGTGCCTGTATACAGCCCCACGGTGCCGAATAATGAGAGCACATTAATCACACACTGAATGGGTCTCCTTATCTTTCTTCACGTTTGAGAGAAACAAAATGGACGGCGGTAAGATGCATTACATTTCTGCTTGGAAAGTTACCTTTGCTTCCACGTATGACCCAAAGTTCTTCATTATTAACTGCTATCAGTGTGAACTTACCCTCTGAGCATTCACAAACATCTTGTGGATGATCGCGCCGGCCACCCCTCTGCCTGCTCCAATGATTGGCACTTCAGGCTGTTCCAGAAGACAACTGACAAACCTGCCGGAGTGGAGAAATCAGGAGGTCAGTGAGAACAGAGGAGACATGCAGAGGGCTAAATGATATAAACTGCAGCCATTACTAAGGCGGCCAATCAGACGAGCAGTATGGTAAGTAGTTACACACTTGTCTTGAAAAGTCCCAGGATAAGTGCCTACTAAAAATGTGTCTCCTCTCCGGCTTCCCATAGAGGTCCAAGCTTCTTCTCACCACCCAAAATCCTACTGGCAAGTTAAATGTCTTTTCCCCATGTGTGACGTGTGTGTATGCATGATGAGGGCTGATCAGTTCTTGCCGTCCCACAAATTTCTAGTCTGATGTTCCTTCTGCAGGCAAAGAGAATCTGTAAAGCTCTGCAAATATTTCTACACTATATTAACCACTTCCCGTCCGGTCCATGTATATAAACGGCCGGACGGGAGCAGTGCAGGGGGGGGTGGCCGTTTATAAACATCCTCCTGCTTCCCTGCCTGTCCGCGCTCCCTGGGAGCGTGCGTCACCGCGATGCGGTGCCCACTGTGTGCTCCGGACACAGTGAAACACAGATCGCTGTATGGGACCTCTGTGTGAGGTCCCGGTCATGTGATCACTGATTGACCAATCAGTGATCACATGAATAGTAGTAAGCAAGATGTCACTTCTGACACCATTGCTTACTACTTGTGAAATCTATGAACGATCACAGAGGTCACATGGTACAGGGCTATTCACAACAGCCTTGTACCATGTGACAAGCTGTAACCAATCACAGCTCTCAGTATTTTTCAATGGCTGCAAGAATGCAGCCAGAGAGGAGAAATGATTGCTTTTACAGCCTTTGTGTAAAAGCAATCAGTGTAAAAAAAAAAAAAAAAAAATCCTCATCACCCCCCACAAGCAGTAGTGTCACTATGGTGACACTGTACTGCTATGGTGACAGTATGTTTAACCACTTGAGCTCTAGAGGATTTACCCCCCTTAATGACCAGGCCTCTTTTTGCTACTCGGCGCTGCACTAGTTCAACTGATAATTGCGCGGTCATGCAATGCTGCACCCAAACGAAATTTACGTCCTTTTTTTTCACACAAATAGAGCTTTCTTTCAGTGGTAGTTGATCACCTGTGCGCTTTTTATATTTTTCATGCTATAAACAAAAAAATGGCCAAAAATTTTGAAGAAAAACAATATTTTTTACTTTCAGCTATAAAAAATATATAGTAAACTCAAAGTTGGTTATAAATTTAGGCCAAAATGTATTCTGCTCCATCTTTTTGGTAAAAAAAATCCCAATAAGTATATATTGATCGCTTTGTGTGGAAGTTATAGCGTCTACAAACTATGGTATAGATACTGCAATTTACACCATTTTTGTGCTATACAGCGCTGCGCTAGTTTAACGGACAATTGCGCGGTCATGCAATACGGTACATAAATGAAATTTACATCCTTTTTTTCCCCCACAAATTGAGCTTTCTTTCGGTGGTATTTGATCGCCTGTGCGGTTTTTATTTTTTGCGCTATAAAAAAAAAAAAAGGCTGACAATTTTGAGGAAAAAAAAAAACAATATTTTGGACTTTTTGCTATAAAACATGTCCAGTAAAAAAAAATGCAAAAATAAAATTTAGTCATAAATTTTGCCAAAATGCATTCTGCGACATGTCTTTGCTAAAAAAAAAAAAAACCCAATACATGTAAATTAATTGGTTTACGTGAAAGTTATAACGTTTACAAATGGCGGGAAAGATACTGGGATTTTTAGGGTTTTTTTTTTTTATACTAATAATGGCGGCGATCAGCGAATTATGGCGGCGATCAGGGACTTATGGCAGCGACCAGCAACTTATGGCGGGACTGCGGCGGACATTCTGATATTGGGGGGTACTGACTTGGGGTCACTGACATCCCCAAAAACACTAATACAGTGATCAGTGCAAAAAAAAAAAAAAAAAAAAAACACTGACACTGTACTAATGGCAATGGGGAGCTACTGCAGCTGTGCTCTCTGTCACTGTTTGCCGCCGATCGCCGGGAAACAGTCGCTAAGGAGCGGCTGTGACCCGGTGACTGACATCTGCGGCGGTGATTCGCGGGACAGATAGGGCGGCGGCACGCCTCGCGCGCGCCCCCTATTTGTTTACAAAACACACGTTTTAAAACGTGGTTTTGCCTGAGAGTGCCGCCCTGCCGCCGTATATGTACAGTGGCTGGGCGGCATGTAGTTAAAAAAAAAAAAAAATTTTAAAAAGTTTTTTTTCTAAAAAGATAGCTGAATACATTTTGGCCAAGATTTATGAAGAAAGATTATTTATTTGCAAAATGTTATAAGAAAAACACTTTTTTTCATTTATATAGCAAAAAAATAAAAATCCCAGTGGTGAATAAATACCACCAAAATACATTTTTATGTGTCTCAAAAAAGTGCTAAAAAATTCATTTGGGAACAGTGTTGCATGACTGCGCAATTGTCATTCATAGTGTGATAGCGCTGAAATCTGAAAAGGGAAGGGGGTGAAAGTGTCCGGACTGGAAGTGGCTAAGTAAAGGAGTATAATTCTAGGGTGTAGGTAGCCTTTCTTAATCATTTTTACAATGGAGAAACTCTTGAAATATTTTCAAGTCTTGGGCGGACCCCTGCTAAAACCAATTCATCCTTACTTTGTCAGTGGTGCCCCCCTTACAGTGATGGTCAGAATAAAACCCTTACAGACAGCTAAAAGGATCACTGTTGTCACGCTGCTATCTCTGACAAATGAAGGATCCAGAGATATGCAGCCACCATCAGAGGGTAGGCCACAGCCTGTGGAACCCCTTAGCAACTGCTGGAGGAAAAAAAAAAAAAAACATACTGCTTTTTCACACTATACCCAATGCAAGTGTGACAGGTTCTCTTTGATACCAATATCCCATACATACGTCTCTAGATCCTCCTTCTCCACAGGATTTTCACAACGTTCTGTGGCAAACTTTGCTTTCAGTGACCGGGCTCTTGCTATGGTAGCCTCAGCATTTGCAATTTGGCTGATGATGTCCTGATGAGAGAAGGGTGGGAAGCAAAAACATTCTTATTTGCTAAAAACACCACAAACTGCCACAGTAACCTGTGGCAACCAACCAGGTGTGACGTTTTGTTAGTTTGTTACGATGAAAAAATTATTGCCAATAGGTTGCACACCTATGTTGTTCTTTACCTAAAGGGAATTCATCCCCAAGAAAAGAGCACTTGCACATGTAGCAGTTCACTAAGTAAAGTAACATGTCTGTGCATAGTCTATCAACGTGTGGAATAATGTCACACCATAATACTGAATGCGGCGGTGTCTGGAGCTCGGCCTCGGCGTCTGGAGAGCTTGGCGTCTGGGGCTCGGCCTTTGCGATTTTTATTCTAATATTATTTGTTGGCACAGGAATGGGGCACTAAGATAAATTGGTCACCTTAAGATGTGTTATAATTTTCACATTCTATATATTTTCATGTTTATGCTTTTATTTAAGTATTTCACATGTAGGTGTTTTTTGGCTTTTTTAGCCCATGAAGTAGTACTTATAGTGATTTAATTTGTTAGCGCTGCACTATTGTTTATAATTCATTTTGCACTGGTTGGGTATCAGTTTGAGTGTTAGCAGCTGATAGGTAGGGATTGGGGGTCCATTACAGCGCAGGAGGAATTTTTCATCAAACAATTGTGTGGAATAATGCCACACCATAGTGCTGAATGCGGCGGCGTCTGGAGCTCGGCCTCGGCGTCTGGAGCTCGGCCTCGGCGTCTGGAGCTCGGCCTCGGCGTCTGGAGCTCGGCCTCGGCGTCTGGAGCTCGGCCTCGGCCAAAATAGAATGGACAAAAGCTGCTGATTTTGACAGAACACATTGGGAGGAGCATATCATGCTGACGTCATCATGCGTGCTGATACTTTGCCTGTTTCTACTTATGTTTCTGAATGCCGTGCTTATTTTTATTAAATTAAGTGGTTTATCTATCTGCACTATGTGAAACGGTCTTTTACATGTTTTGTGTATATCATTTATGAGGTTCTGGAGTGAAAGTTTTGCTGGTTGATGCCTTGCACTACTATCTATGAGATAACCCCTATGTTTAAAGTGTGCAAGTGACCTAATTTTGGGGTCCATGTTTTTTGGTAAGATGCTTGATTTGCCATGGTGGTGGAATGAAAACACGATGGAATAAGTGAATAATGGCGAGGATTATTTACCTGCCTTCACCATCTTATGGAACGTTTGGACTTTGTTATAGAACTCAGTTGTAGCGTGTTGATTTGTACAGCAATGATGCAAATGTGATCATGCACGTGTGTGTGCAGAATTATGCAAGTATGGTTTTTATAAGTAACATTTCTGCACATGTGAAGTTATGTATATGATTTGAATAGTGCTGCATCCTTTGGAGGATGTAGCATACATTTCAAAAATAAAAGCAAATCCTGCCTTGTAGTGACATGTTTTACAACACTGCGATCCAGCTTGATGTGTGCCAGATTTGGTGTAAGAAGGCAAAAACATGTGTCCCTCCTCACCTCCATCTTCTTGTCTTCAGGGTTTGGGAATCGCAGGATTTTACTGGAATGGGTGACGATACGTTTACGTTTATGGAGGCCTTCACAGAAGGAATGTCGTCTAATATTTCTAGAAGAAAAGGAATGACAAAAGTAACGATCAGCAAACTATAGGGGAGAAGCAGTTTACTCCACACAGGTTCACAGAGATAAGTATAGACAGATAATTTAGAGGCCAGATCCAAAGAAAAGGGGCTGAGTATTGTGTCCTGGTAACTCTATGGGGTTAAAGCTGAAGTTCAATCTGTGTATATTTGCCTTCTCTGGTTCCTCCAACAAATTTTAAATATAAATACATATAGATTCCATCACATAGCTTATTTTAGACCCAGTAAGGTCATTACTGGGCCTTTGTGCTGCTCAGTGCAATGCAGGCAGATCATGGCCAGGCTAAGACTGGAGTGTCCATATGGACTCTCCCTTTTCAGTGCAGCTGTCGCACAGACAGTGCAGGAGGAGCCAGCAGGGCGCATTACCTAACTAAACAAAAACCACCCCCCAATTTATAGCTAGCTTTTTAAAGTAAGGTTCACATGGAAGGGTTTTGCACAGACAAAACAAAACGTATTTCTCAGCACACTTGCCTGTCAGCCAGCAGAAGAAAAGAAATTAAATTGTCCAACAGTTAAGGCAGATGTTTCATTGGCACATTTGCTAATATATGTGGCAGTCGCACTGCCCCATCAAGGCTCCTCTGTATAGTGCGGTCCTAACTCACTATACTATGAAAGCCTCCACACTGGAGCATGTATAGCAATGGACAAATAAAGGGCAAGTATGCCTGGAGGCAGCCCATTCCTTATTAATAGCACAGGAACACAGCACAAGCCCAGCATAGCACAATGGCAGCTGAAAGTGGCCAGTGTGTCCCCCGTGCCAAATCCAGCAGACTAAACAAAAATGGCAACTATATCAATTTTTTTAACTAGCTAAGTAATAAAGCTGTAATATACGTGGTCTTCAGAAAAACAAAAACTGCCATTTCCATTCTAGTGATGGGGTGCATCATATATGTCAGGGGTCTCAAAACTTTCTAAACAAAGGGCCAGTTTGCTGTCCTTCAGACTTTAGGGAGGCCGGACTGTGGCCATTGGGAGTAGAAAAGGTTCTGCCGTCAGTGGGAATAAACCATGCCCCTTCTTTGGTTTTAGTGGGAGCAATGGCAGCCCATCATTGGTGTCATTGTGAGGAATTGTGCCCCATAATTGATGTCATTGGGAGGATTTGTGCACCTCCATTGGTGTCAGTGGAGGGAATTTTACCCTATTGGTGGTATCAGTGGATACAACAGTGCCCCAAGGGCCAGATAAAAGCAAGCAAAGTGCGGAATCCAGCACTCGGGCCACAGTTTGGAGACCACTGATATGTCATTTCTGAGTTTGTCCATAGTTCCATTTAAGTGATTGGCAGCCAGTGTTTTGTTGTTGATTGCCATCAATTTGCATGCTATGCAGAAGATTTTCGATCTGAAAATGACCCGGAGGTGTAATAGTATACAAGGAAAACTGGATCTTGATATAATGTATGGAGGAAGTATGGAGCATACAATGCACAGCACAGAGGGATACATACCTTCGTCTTTCACCTTAAGAAGAGCGGCATGAATGATGCACGGTACTAAATGGCGGGTCAGGTCTGCGGGTTTCTGCACTGCCAAGTAGTGAAGAACCTACAATAGGAAACACAACAGGGTAACGTGGGAGCAGCTAGCACAGGCCATCCAAGAGGTCTTCTCAGCACAAAGGGTATTAAAGGAAAAATCCACTTTTAATGATAGCGCTGATACAACATTTATTATTATATATATTATAAAAAAGCCACTCTTTCATTTCATTATATTAAATCTTACTTTCTTTATAATCTGGAGTTTGATCAATTTTTAAAACCTCCAAAAATCCAAATATTGCATCTTTGCAGCCATGGCAACAGAATGCTCCCAGAGACTTAATTCCATGCTTGTTTGATTGGCTAGTTGCTCTCTCTAGATGTCTACATTGGGGCTTTTAGTAACATTTTCAGCATCTTTCCTTGGGTCTGCTGCAGTAAAGCCCTTTATCCATGAGATTATTGCCATCTATGTATTTATAGGGATGCAGGGTTTCCACTTTTAGAACATAATTATAGCAGACAGTTCCTTCCACTTAGCAGTCTATTCGAAGAAATGACTGCCATTGGCTGTCTCAGTGAGTACTGAGAAAACGTAGGTAAGAATCTGAAGACTGTTAAATCCCAGCAATCTATGGAACCATCCTTAAGACGGACATGTTTTCTCAAAAGAAAAATTTCTACAATAACGTGGAACTCTGACTTTAATAGGCAAGATGACACAACTGTCAAAATGAAAGCAGAACTTCAAGGCAAATATGTAAAATGTACAAATTAAAGAATATGTTACCCCAACATTTCATATTCCGGATATGTGTCTGCTGTACGATGTATTTGTATGAAAACGTATCCTGTTCTCTTTGTATTGCTCCCTTTGTTTGAAATCTCTGGTGTTCCTGCCAGCCCTACTGCTTTCCTAATAAAAAAACTGACCTCGCTAGGCATGAGAGAACAGTGTGGTCAGTTCTCTAGATATGCTGACAACTCAGCCTGCTCTCCTTCAATGATCAGACCTGTCCTGACATGCCTCTTGTCTATGTATGCTCCCACTTTCTGCTGTCAATCACAAGAGAAGTGGACCTAAGGCTCAGCCCACACAGGCACAAAACTCCTTGGTGCTGCACTGTCTGTGCAACAGTTGGAGCAGCGGGGAGGGAGCTCAGCTGCACTGAAAAGGGAGAGTCCATATGGACACTCCAGTCTTAGTGCCCCTCTGCACAGGGTGTATGTCCCAGATGCAGGTACCGGATTACAACAGGTATATGAATTGGTCATAGAAATAAATGGGTGCAGCACTAATAAGAAATAAAGTGCTAATGCAAAATAAAGAAAGAATGATGGCTCATTCAAAATAAAATACAAATATTAAAGTGTCAATAGTGCTAGTCACAAACCATATAATAAATCGTGATATAGGGGCTAATGGTATAAATACATATATAAATCCAATAAATATATTGTGCAGTAGTATAAAGCCACACAAGGTGGATAAGGTGATAAATAAGTGAAAGTCCAAATAATGAACGTTGGGATCCAAGAAGATCTCAGCATAGGTGTTCCAATCTCCTAATCCGAAGTGATGGATGGTGTGACTGGTAATAAGTAAATTGTGCACTCACCAGATGCGCGATAATATCACGCATTTGAGATTACAACTGTCTCATCAGGTCAGCCAGATAATCCAATAGTGTGCACAGCCTGGTTCCTGTTCTCTTTAGGGTCCTCCAATTGGTATCAGTACATCAGGTTTCCTCTAAGATAGGCTATGTGAATGCTTAGACTCACAAAGAGCCAATTCAAGGATGCCACATAGTGTGATACTGTATTATCAGAGGAGTTTAATAATCCCAAAGTAGGCTGCACAAACAAGAGCAAAAAAAAATGACCATGTGTTTCAAAGATGGCCACCAGCGGTGTGATGTCACAACGCTGTGGCTCCTCCCTATGAATTTGTCACCTGCACTGACACTTGTCACGCAGAGGCACAAATTTCCCTGACTGTGTCGTTTTTAAAAAAATGTTTTAGTACAAATGCCATACTTGAAGGCCCTTTGTGTCACCTGTTAAGCCCGGCTGAAATACTACCAAGCTTTATATTGCTATATCCTGGCTTATTTCCAAAACATGGCAGCCTTTGGGTGCTCACCCCTAGCAATGCAAGAGTGGGCGCGCTTCCTGGTTCAATAGCTGTGTAGTGCACCATCTCCCATCGCACAAAGACTCTCCAGTCACACATCCCCACCACAATTCTATCCATCTCATGCTTCTACACTAAGATCATTACTTAAGTTGCCCTCAATGAAGAGGGCTCAGCAGACGGCAGACTTCATGGATGACAGAAAAGGCCTATGGGTATGGCATTGTCTAAGCAATATTTTACAAATGGTATACTGTATATGGTGCAAAATGGGAGAAAGGGGGCGCCCACAAAATGCAGCATTACAATCAATCACTTTATTAACATACAATTGGTAATTCACTGGGTTAGGAGATCAAAAGGCATATTCAGGTATAAGACGTGAAAAAAAGCATGAAGCTCTAAAACGCGTAGCCACACCCAAAGGACAGCCCACATGACATCACTTCCGCACCTGCTTCCCTGTGCTCTCCAGGGTGGTTACTGGCACTTCCTCTTTTGCTTTCCAGCAGTCCTGAGCCTTCCACACAGAGCCTGGTGGCTGCGCAAGTAGAAAGAGACTTCAGTGGGGCTGACAGCGATGTTCTTGTGGAGATACGCCTTTGATCTGTTAACCCAGTGAGTTGTCAACTGTACATAAAAAATGGATGATTTTATTGCTACACTTAGCGGGCGCCCACTTTCTCTTTTTTTTTGTTCTACTATAGAGGCTGATTTCTACTCTGGGGTGGCGACCCCTAAGTGAGCCTGTGGATGGCATTGCAGGATTATTTGTTCACGTTGGATTTTTATGGACTTGTGCTGCTTGCACTGTTAGCACCATTTAATTTCTTGTTTATTTTATGTGGTGTATTGTAGATTGCTGGAGTCTTCATGGGCCAGTTTATTTAAAAGGTGAACTTAGCCTTTTACAGAGGCAGACCCTCCTACCTAAAGTATTACTAAACCCCGGACCCTGCATTCACTATATCTGGTCTCCCCCCGGATCCTGCATTCACTATATCCGGTCTGCCCGGACCCTGCATTCACTATATCCGGTCTCCCCGGCCCCTGCACTCACTATATCCGGTCATCCCAGGACCCTGCATTCACTATATCCGGTCTCCCTGGACCCTGCATTCACTATATTTGGTCTCCCCGGACCCTGCATTCACTATATCCCACTATATCTGGTCTCCCCAGGACCCTGCATTCACTATATCTGATCTGGTCTCCCCCTGGACCCTGCATTCACTATATCCGGTCTCCCCGGACACTGCATTCACTATATCTGGTCTCCCCCTGCATTCCCTGCATCCACTATATCTGATCTCCCCGGACCCTGCATCCACTATATCTGGTCTCCCCGGACCCTGCATCCACTATATCTGGTCTCCCCGGACCCTGCATTCACTATATCTGGTCTCCCCGGACCCTGCATTCACTATATCTGGTCTCCCGGACCCTGCACTCACTATATCTGGTCTCCCCGGACCCTGCACTCACTATATCCGGTCTCCCCGGACCCTGCACTCACTATATCCGGTCTCCCCGGACCCTGCACTCACTATATCCGGTCTCCCCGGACCCTGCATTCACTATATCTGCTCTCCCCGGACCCTGCATTCACTATATCTGGTCTCCCACAGTAAACAGAACATGGAAATGTAATTATTTTAGTAAATTTCAACTGCTAAATACCTTTTTCCTCAGCACTTAGAGCAGTCTTATAACTTCTATCAGTGTCCAGCTGAGCACTGGGTAAAGCTTGGAGGAGGAGTTTGCATTCTCCTCTCACTGTCCTGAGACTGCAGGACCTCTGCCTAGACAGCGCTGATTGGACCTGTGCTGATCACATGTAAGCTCCCAAGACAAAAAAAAAAACTCTTTAGCAATACACACTAAACTGAGTATGTACAGCTTGCCCCCCAATGCTCTGTACTATCAGCAGATGAGTTGGGGACTGAGGAAGAAGGGGAGGATCAGAGAAAAGACAAGGTTAAGCAACCTTTTTACACAATGCAGAGGATTAACCCCTTAGGTTCCACAGTGAGTATAACAAGCATGCTTTACTGCATATACAGACTGATTGCACTGTTGTGGGTTTAGTAACACTTTAACACTCCCTTTTATCAATTATACTAGCATGGGATATCCTAGTACCTGCAAAACAGACAAATCTACCAAAATCCTTGCAATGTTTCTGAAGGACTGTTGCTGTATCCTCGGGAAAGCTAGTGTTCCACTCTGGAGTCAGACAACATGCACTTGACAATGAAAGACACACCAAAAACAAGTCAGTTAGCAGCCGTAATTGTTTGGGCCCTTTGGCTGCCTAATTGGCTCCTGGGATCTGTCCAGGCCTGCAATGTACACACTGTCTAACAAATGCTCTGCTTTACGGACTATTGATTTACAGAACTGGACAGCCACACTGCTGAAATGTGTAGACCCCGATGGACAGCGAACAATACGAACAACATACGGAACAGAGTATGAGACTAAAGAGGCGGCTGAGACCAGCGCTTCATTGTGTATCTGAAAACAGACTGCTGAACTGTACACATGGCTTCCTCATTCACATAATATCTGTCTTCCACTTTTTCTTTTTAAAGTATAGCTAAAGTCATAACTTTTTGTCATCATTTTGGATACAGCAAGGAACCGGTAAAATCTCGGTTAGGTTTTATTTTGACAAAGCAAGTCCAGTCCACACCGCTGAACCACAGCCAATCAGGAAGAGAGGGTGAAAGAAAAACCGTGTCCAGTCTTCCGTGTCTCCACACCTTCACTACTGCAATATACATGATTAGGGCCTGATGGCCAAAATACATTCGCATGTTTATTCCTGTACTGGCGATGTAGCAAATAAAAAT